GTAGGCTCGAAGAGCCATGAGTGTAACTCACCCCTACGGGCCTGCTTCGCAATAATAATAACAAGCGCAATCTATTATCAACACTAGAGATTTTTGTATCAGATGGAAATGGGTTGATATAAAAAATCAAAGTAAAAAAATGTTTGGAAAAAGATATATGTCGTATTATGTAGACCCGAAGGGTCATTGCAAAGCAATAATAATGAGCTCTGCTCTATCTACTGTTTGTAACACATTCTGCATCCACTTTTCTGGCTTTGAGTGATAGAGTCACGAGAAAGCGGGTTATGTGACTAAATCATATAATTGATTAAATACTATACTTCTATTCCTAAAAGTCGCTTTTGAAATCTAGTCTGCAATTGACTCTTTTTAGATTCTATCCAATTATATGGAATAATATATTCTTCATATTGTCTATTAATAATGGAACTGCGCATTATGGAATTATTTTATATAATTCAATCCATTTAGTACGCCATTGATCAAATTGTTCTCGAGTCTGAGGATTTTTTATTTTATGTCGAGTTAAACCTAAAAATTTCTTATTATCTGGAGTATTATCATTTGATAAACTTAACCAAGCAAGACGTGCATTTGATGGTACTCTTTCTTTAAATCAGCGATAAGCAGTTTGTATGATTCGAGCATATCCATCTTGAGATTTTGGATTATTACATTCATGATCCCAATGATACTTCATCAAATCTGCAGGTTCAATCTTTTCGATATATCTGTAAATAGCAGAAGCATATACTTTCTTTGGTTTCACATCATTAACTTGAATCAATTTCCAACAATCAAGACAAATTGCCATATGAGTTTTGTGAATTCTAGGTCTATAGTAGTCGTGATTGACTAGCTTAGAATTTCCAAATCCACCATATAAACAGTGTACGTGATATACGCTTTTTTTCTTTTCCGAGACTAGCTCTTGTAAAGGAACTCTGACCCGAATAGCCCATTGTTGTGAAGTTTCATTGGGTCGAATAACAGATAAAGTATCATATTGTCTTTCGATCTCAAAGAGTTTATCGAAGAATTGTTGATAATCATTAATACCAAAATATTTGTAGATATATGACTTTATATATTTTATATCATATCCCGGTCTATTATTAATGAGTTTCTGTGATTTAGATTTTTTATCAATAATGATAGGAATATTAAGACCAGACATATTTATCGACTATATTGTATTTAGGATATTGATTTAGCCTTGCTAGTTTCACTAATAACTATATACTCTAGAATAATGCGATTCAATTTTAGTACTGATACTCGAAGAGCGTCTTATAGGCCTGGGTTATTGGATGAGTTGTGATATTTGTCATATTTGCGAGTGACATATACGATGAGGGCCAATCAAAAATTTTGATTTATTTTTACGTGCGATTAGGCAGGTTAACTGTTAGATAACGGATAACTGACAACAATTAATGAATTGGTAGGTGTTAGTTCATTTTGACACTGCACGTTTCAGTAGACGTACGAGTTAAATAACGGTAAAGCTTATTGCAAAGCAGGCCATAGGCGATTCTCTGAATCATGATCCTTCGGGTCTACAAAAAATCGGGTTATTTAATAACTTTATTAATGTATGAATTTGGACGTGACATCGATGTCACTGGCGCAGTAATGTGGCGCAGTAACAATTATATTTTATTTTCCGTTTTTAGTGGCTATGCCACAGCTTTTCGAGCTAAAACTTCGACTATTACATAATCAATATTTTCTTGACTTAAGTTTGAAATGGTTGATGCCGAAAATGATCATTTGGTACGGTAAACAGAATTTTTTTCGATACAGAGTCTATGGAAGATATGTCTGATCTAAATTTACAAGTTCTACACTTAAGATTTCAGGGTCTCATATCTCTCAATGTTGTAGCAAAAAGCTGAACACTACTGGAGGGTGGCGTTGGATGTATTACGAAGATCACAGAGAAAAAGATCCAGATGAAGAATGGAGAGAAGTAAGGCTTAATTTCCGAAAATTCAAAGTTTCATCTTTAAGGAGGGTTCAGTTACCCAACGGTTTAATCTCAAGAGGATCTCTAGATGCAGGATATCTTAGAGTCGCTCGAGAAAAATATCGTGTCCATCGCCTGGTTGCATTAGCATTTTGCCCTAGAGAAGGTAAAGAATATATGAATCATATTGACAGGAATTCAACAAACAATAAAGCATCTAATCTTGAATGGTGTTCATAAAAAAACTCTCAGCATGCTGTACGCCTCGGGCTTCAGCGTCAATGTGGTGTTAAGCAGATTCTTGATGATGTCTTTCCAAGAATTTCCATCCATAGCTGAAGCATGGCGTGTTACTGGAATTAATCATATAGGACTAGTATGTCAAGGATTTCAAAGACATGCGGGAAGGTATCGTTGGGAATATGTTACGCAATAATACTTCACGTCTTTCAATTGCACTAAAAATAGCTTTTTATTTCATCTATGTTAGAGTTCTAGTCACAACGTATAATATGCTTCTTCATCATACTCAATACCTTTGCTTGCGGTTGATTTATTATATATGGTAAATTTTTTCGTTCAATTTTATTTCACTTTACGAAGCGAACAACAAAACCAATTAATAAAACTCGTTTTGTAGCTACTAAAAATCAAAGAATTTATTTTAAATATCATCCACAACAATTAATAATGAAATTAAGGATCTTCGAATTATTCAGTTGAAAATTAAATCCGATTAACAGATTAAAGAATTGCTTTAAGCACGATCACGCGCAACCTTATCACATCTGAAATAAAATATTGACAAGCAGACCACGCAAGATAAACATTGGTTCAATTATCAACAAAAAAAAATGCTTAGCTTGATCATTTTTTATTTATATTAAGACCAGAAAGCCATTGAAAATGAATAAATCAATAAAAGAATATTTACATCATGTGAACATCATTGGTGATGGTGGATTCTCATAATTATCGCTAAACTGCCTAATCAACTGATCTATAGCTGGTTGTTCCTCTATCCCAACAATATTTTTCGCTAATTTTAATCTTCTGCGCATTGACATGTTAAACAATTCTTTTTCAGACATATCATCAATTATGTCTCCCATTCTGTCATCAATCTCTTCGGGTATAGATTCAAGAAGCTTTGCTCTCTTTGTAAGTGGTTTGGGTAAATCTGTTTGATATGTTATATTTTTTCCGAGTAACTCTAAATAAGTTCTTCCTTCACCAAGTACGAACTGTTTAATTATTGCCAAAGCAACACTACGGTCATCAATTATAGATGATGCTAAATAACGATCCTTATTCTCTTCCCCCCAAAAAAAGTAAATAATCCAATTGTCATTGCAATCAGTTAAGACAGACATAGGGATTGGGGCGTACGCATTATCCATTATTAATAATTCTCCGATAACTTGACCCAATTTAAAATTCACCTTCTTTTTCTTAGTTTCAATCCAAACGCAAGGGGTATTACTTGGTCCAATAGAAATATCGGCACCACCTGTTAAAATGACATTGGCAGTTTGTAAATGTCGTTGATAATTTCGTGTATGGACATCCTTTACATGAAAATCTCTTGGTAGATTCAATGCTTTCTTAAACCATTTCTCAACTTCGGACATTTGGTAAGCTTCATCATTTTCCATATCCCATAAGAATGGCCGACATTGTATGGGTTCAATAGGTTGAAAGTCTTCCGCCGAGATCTAATAATAGATATATGATAATTATAATATAGCTTAATAGTACAGGACAAGAGACGTGTATTTACTTCAAAAGGCTTTAATCCGTAACATTCAATTATCTTTCTTGCTTTTGATTCCGAAAGAGCTGATGCTTGTATCATCTCAGCAGGCTTTTGTCGGGAGAATTCTTCCCTTATTGCACTTTTTACAATCTCGCTTAAAACTTCCGGTTCTTCACGTTTGCGTTTTAACGTCGCTTGTAATAATAGAAAAAATTCAAAGTTAGTTTAACGTCACAATAATGCAAAACTATTTTAACCTGTCAACTATCGCCTCTTTCCCGATACATACCAGATGCATTTACAATGACTTGTAGAGGTGTGTCATCATTATTTTCAAAACTTTTATCCACTGGTAGACCAGGGCGCAAGTCTTCTTCTTCACCGTGTCTTCTTAAAGTGATGTCGTCTATTGCCACGTCATTCAGCTTGGGTGATAGTTCCTTCTTGATCGCTCTTATCAAATCGTCTACAATCTCTCCGTCAAAAGTAAGCCTAACTGGTCTGCTGTCGCCATACTTGATCCATATTTTAGAAGGGGTCGACGAAGAACTTAAGTGAAAATCCTCGAGAACTATTTTTTCGCAAAGGTAATGAGTGACTCCTCTACAAAAAATATTTATAATAAATTTACCTACCACTAGATAGCTCCGTTCGTAGGGGAGGAGCATTTTCAAATATTTCGACACCTTTGTCTTTTGCGGTTGTACCAGATGTGCCAGATGTACCAGCAACAGTAGGTGAAACGACATCTACGGAAGATATTCTTCACTAAATATAATGAATTGTTTCTTCACAAACAATGCTCGAAAATACACGTAATTTACCTGTAACTTTTTTTTTCCGAGGCTTTCGGTTTTGGTGGCATCGTTTTTGAAAAAATGTTACGGGGCACAACATCATGATTGACACTTATCATGTGTATTACAGGATTGTTGCGTCATATTATCCGATTCTCGACTCGTGATTTCCGTGATATACTTTATATTTTCTGATATAATAAAAGCCCCGATATGGACAAGTTTTAAGCTACAAAAATTTTTCTTACAAGATAGGTGGTTTCAAATCGTTCGTTGATTATATTTGCAATACTCCACATTTCGATTTTTTCTTTAGTCTATTAATAAGCAAAGTTGATCGTCAGTTCACATCACAAACTAGCTCTACTATTCACAAAACAGTTACGGTTCAGTGCCACCTAATTGAGATACACTTATTTCTCATAGAATTATACATGAAAAAAGTTTATCGTGACTACATCGCATATCGAATTTGCTATCTTGGACTGGGCGATCTTAAATGAAGAATTAACATTACGTCCGAAGGCGATAGGCGAAAAAATGTCTTAGTAACCGAAAATTTGGTTTCAAGAATGTCGATTAATATAAAACCTTGCATCTTTATTCCATAAATGAGGTTCTATTCAATCGGGGATGTGGGGTCATGACCCATTAATTAATATGCGCGGATTGAATAACGATATTCCGATTTTGTATAGGTCTCACCGGTGTTTAAATCATAATAATAACCTTCATCATCATCAGAAAATCCACAGAACCCATCATCATCAGAGGGTTCCGAGTTAGAATCTAAAGAATCATCGGGTTCACCTACCTCTTCCTCCAGTAAATATTCGGCTTTCTCGCTTATATTATTATCCTCATTTACAGTTTCTGGTTTATCCTTTGAAATTGCTCCAGTAGATATGCTTACCTCTTCCTCCGGTAAAGATTTGTTATCCTCACTCATCATATCTTCCGAATTGGAGGTATGAAACAATGGGACAGAGGGAATGAATGTAGTGCTTACCTCTGTTTCCAAAAATTCTGAATCTTTATTTTCTTTTTCGCAAGAAATTTGCTGATCACTTCCTGAACTCGGTTCAGGGAATTCGGATTTTAGGGTAGGTTCTATCTTAATACTATAATCAAATGTTACGTTATCTATAATATATTGAATATCTCTATTTGTCATTTTCGAGATACTATCAGCGGAAAAGGAATGTATTCGATAAATTTTATCCATACCTATTACACTGAAAAG